CAAGCCCTACACTGCCGTACTGAGAAAAAACCTTGTATGACAATTCAAGCGTTGCCAAATTTCCCTCGATAAAACACGAATAAACTGGGAAAATTTTGAACACTATCGTCTAATTTTTCCGACCATTCTATTGGGAATTTCATTAAAAGCATCTGAAAATTTCAAGGGAAAATATGCATAACTTTCCGCAAAAATAAACATTTGATCCAAGGAAATTTGGCAACTCTCAAATGTTCTTACAGCGTTCTTCCTTAGGACGGCAGTACACTGCCATGCTAAGGAAAAACGCCGTTTGAACATTCGAGAGTTGCCAAATTTCTTTCGATAAAATGTTTATTTTTGAGGAAAATTATGAGTATTTTTCCTTAACATTTTCAGATGTTTTAAATGAAATTTCGAACAAAATTGTCTGAAAAATTAGGTGGAAAATGTTCAAAAATTTTGCAGTTAATTCGTGTTTTATCAAAGGAAATTTGGCAACGCTAGAATGGTCGTACGACGTTTTTCTTCGAGTTGGTTTTCAGGAACTTTAGATCAAAATACGGAAAAAATTATCTGAAAAATCGGAAGAAAAATATTTATAAAACCAGAAAAATCGCGTTCTATCAAAGGAAATTTGGCAACGCCTGAATGTTCATACGGAGTTCTTCCTTATCATGGCAGTACAGCTGGCAGCTTTTCCCGTGCGCTTGAAACGCTTCGGCTTCCCGCTGTACGGTCAGCGGTATTTTCCCGGAACTTTCCTCGACTGCCCGAAGCAGCGCGGCGGCGATCCTGAGCCCACCCCTTTGAGCTCGAACAATGGCGCTCCGAAAAAGGCGAGAGGGTTCAGCGGGAAAAGCTCGGGGAAGTGGGAGGGGCGCCCGGGGTCGAGGCGGGGGGTTTGGCGTCATGGAAAAGCGGGAAAGCGGTGTCAGAGGCGTTGCAGGGCTGGACGTAGGGGCAGGGCGTCAGGAATCACGTGTCGCGCAACGTAAAAGGGGAGTCACGTTGCCCACTGCCTCTCGGCTCCAGATCCATCCCGCGACAGGGTTGCCGCTCCGCCGAAAATTCACGCTTTCCACGCTTTCCCGAATTTCCCCCGATGAGTCAGAGCACCGGTCGTAGAACCGTGTTTCGGTGGTTTATACAGGGTTATTCAAAAGTCACGCACCGCTGGCTCTAACTTTAGTTCTAATTGGATCGCGTTAAACAGAAAGGAACCAAGCCACATCAGCTATTGCCAAATTTAATTGGAGGAATTAATTTTTTATATGAAAATGGTTGTGCGGATTTTCGTGCAAATTTCAGTGAATTTTATCCATAGTAGGACGCAAATTCCTTAAAAATTTCAAAGGAGTCCGCACAAACGTTCTCTCGTAAAAAATTGACTTGCCCAGTTGAATTTGGCAACAGCTGATGTGGCTTCGTTCCTTTCTGTTAAACGCGGTCCAATTATAATATCTATGTGCGGTTTAAGACATTTTTCCTCATATCGAGGGGGAAACTTTTTAGGTACTTTCCAGTTTTTGATCCCCTCGGGGGGAGGGGGGGCGGGGGGGGGCAACTGAAAAATTTCAAATGGCCACCACCCTCATGGCCAGTGGTGCGTGACTTTTGAATAACCCTGTATTATCGTGCTAAGAAAAAACACTGCACACGGAAAAAACAACTTTACGCTGAGCCCTTTCAATTAAGTTAAGAGGGTGCCAATTACAAGCAGAGGTGTTTAGCCCTTTGACCCTATTTTACCTTTAGTATTCTGCCGTGCTAAGGAAGAACGCCGTATGAACATTCGAGAGTTGCCAAATTTCCTTCGGTAAAATGTTTATTTTTAAGAAAAGTTGTAAATGTTTCTCCTTGAAATTTTCAGGAACTTTAGGTAAAATTGCGAACAAAATTATCTGAAAAATTGGAATAAAAATATTTACAAATTTTCCCGAAAATTCGTGATTTGCTGACAGAAATTTGGCAACGTCTGAAGGTTTATACGGCGTTTTTCCTAGGCACGGCAGTATTCGGGCTCAGCGCTAAGTTGTTTTTCCGTGTATAAACATTTGAGGGTTGCCAAATTTCCCCTAAAATTTTTTTCCTGGAAATTTTTTCCAAAATTTGTACTTTTGGGGATAATCATGGATGCGTTCCCTCAAAATTTTCAGATATTTCAGATGAAATTGCTGATAAAAATACTTGAAAAATTGGAGGGAAAATTGTTATGCGTTCCCCGGAAAATCCGTATAGTTTTTCTCGATAGGAAAAGTGTTTTTAAGAAGAGAGATGAATGTTCTCAGATAATTTTCAGATAATTTATATCTGATTGCGAAAAAAATTCTCTGAGAAATCGGAGGAAAATTATTCACAGATATCCCTGAAGCATTTCGAAACTTGATCATCGCAAATAATTGGCAAAAATAAGTAGGGCTCTTTAAACACACAGTTTTTACGTTTCCAAAAATTTGACTTTCATAGTTCGACAAATTTTAGTACTCAGCACCGATCAGAAATGTTTTCTCTCTACATGTCAGAGGTAAATGTATCAACGGGTTGTGATGCATCGACGCATCGTATAGCTCGATGACATAACTTCAGCTACACATACTTGTAGTTTTCCTTCCGATTGCAACACTCAGTCCACAGTTCCACAACTATAGGAAATCCCTCATTGATGGGTCAATATCCACTCTGAAGTGAACAATTGGTCCGATTTGTCCGTGTTAAAGTGGAACACTTCGAAATTACTGAAAATCCCACACGATTAGGTAGACTCACCCTCTTGGTTATGCAAGAATCAGTTTGGAGGAAACGCTCCTCTTCGAGCAGTTTCATGACTTTGTCCTTCTTCCGACTGGCAGAGTGGACTTTGATGTATAAATGGGTGAGTATACTTTGGAGTCAGATAATAATTCTATAACTAAAATAAGTTTGGTTCTGCTTCACGGGTTACTCATAAAATCCCAATCCCCAATCACTATACGTTTAGTCAAGATTTTATCTAGTGTTCAGTGTAAAGTGCGGAAACAACACTCTTGTGTATGCATGTATGTATAAAGCCGCTTTTAAAGCGCTCTCTGGCGCTCTGCGACCCCTAGCCGCTTAACTCCCCTATCCTCCCAAAGCTCTTCAGGGAGTTGGCAAACCCTTATTTCTTTCAAAATCCCCTGTCGCCACCCTTTCACAGGGCATCTCCTTCGTCTCCTCCCAGGAGGAACCCAATCACTCTTATACTATCACAACAACACTCTTATACTTTTACAAAAAGATAATTTTATAAAGTTGTTTTTGTTCCTCTTCCGTATTTACCTTTTCGTTGTATACATTAACGGTTCCGAAAAATATTTAGAGGTTAACATTTTACGCAATTTTTCTGGTTGCGACGGTATAAAATTAAGCCAGGAAAATTTGTACGATCTTGTTTAAATACTTAAGAAAAGTTACTACTTTTGCTACTTCAATTTCTTAAAAATTTAAGAAATTGAAGTTTATTAATTTTATGACCTGTTCTTGAAGACTTCTAGAACCCAAGCACCTCTCAAAACACCCATTACCAGCGTAGTAATTGAATGAAGTCTCCGACAGACCTGCTTTTTACCTCATTTCCTCCGTTCGATGATGCGGGGCGGGTGGATTTGTTAAAATCGATGGAGGCAACTATTTTAACGTGAGCGAAATTCTATTGCAGAATCGGCTAAATGAAGGCGAATTTAGTCCAACCTCCATTTAGACGAAGACTATAAGAATAGTTGTAAGACCTCGTCGAAATTTAAGACGTCTTTTTCGGCGTCTGTATCGGCTATTCGATGACATCGAAGTAGAAGGAGCGTTCGGATCAAACAGTTGGCAGTGGGTTGATGCTGCAGAGGCGACACTTGCCTCATTTGAACAATCCTCCTCTCTCTTCATATCTAAGCCTGTGTAGTGTGACATGGTAGAACACGTTAGTTTACGGCTGATTTTTCCAATAATGGATTGACAAGAAGAGGCAATTGAAGTAAATCCGGGGGACCTGAGTGATTTTAAGGCGTGGCGTTTCCCTACAGGGGTCAACGATTTAAATCATCAGTCAATTACCTTGCAGGAGCTGGCATAAAATTAGGCGCAATGATGAAACGTAACGATTCAGTAGCTGCAGAGGTTAGGGTCGGGAAAGATCCCAGCCGAGGTTGGTGGATGAAAAATCGCGCCACCAACTCTGCAGAGAGGAAGCGTTCTGCCCTACAGAGTGCGCAACATTCAACAAGTGAAATTACTGAACTGATACCACTACGAAAGAATGCCTAGCACTCAAAACACTCGGACAAAACGTTGGATGATAAAAATGAGAGAGGAAATATTATCAAATGATGCGCATGCTTGATGCGGTGAAGTTGCGAAGACCATATTCTGCGAAGAATACAAAATACACTTATGAAGGGTGAGTCTCTGAGATGAGCTCCAATTATCAGAACGGAATTTGAAAAAAATGCGTATAAGAGCGCTCAACTCACGTTGGGAGTCCATTCCACAACAAACTGGAGTTTTGGGGACGCCATGAATATATTTGGCCAATGCCAGTCACGATTTTCGTCAATATGGCCAAAATCTTGATTGACCACCACGTGCTGCCTTCCTCTATGCTAGTGCTCCTGATTTGTGACAGTACGGAAAATTCTATCAGAAATTACCTACAGCTCAAATGTCCTCCTCTTGAAATCTCTTAAACTATAAGTTTCAATGTACAATTTTCAAATAATAATTTTCAATGTTTTTAAAGCAGGAGCGTCATTGGGGCCGGGTTGGTAGAGCCGTAGTTCTCGGAATGTTACGGTTGATGGGGAGGGGGTGGGTGTCAATTTTTGGAGGCGTTTTCCGCGATTTTTTTGGGATGTACCCCCTTTTTCAAGCAAATATTGCTTCCTCGTGGAGGTTCCGCCCCCTTTCACCAATATTGAACCGAATGACGCTCCCTTTACCAAATTTACCCCGAAAGACCAGTTTTTGTGTCTTAATAGACAGGCGGCATCAGACTATAAAAAGAAACTCACCGATGGAGAGATATCGTTTTGGCGGTGGTTGGATGGCCGTCTGATTGGAGTGGGGCTCGTATCTGGTGAAGTTCCACTGATGATGCTGTTGCCATGGATACGAGGAGATCATCGTCTGCTGCTGGTGGGACAGAGACGCGACGCGAAACGAGTTGCCGGCGATGTCCGTGCCCATGGCTGAGCCCTTGGACCGGTCCAAACTCCCCTCGGTTTTCCCTATTTTTGCTGCTATCTCACTAAATGACTAAAGAAACACGCACTAAAACTAAAAACTAGACTAAACACAATTAATTCTTTTTGGATATATATATATATCTTTATGTTAAATCTATTTCTTTCAGGCCACTTTTCAGGTCGGAGCGTCTATCCATTCATGAAATGCCCGCAGTCGAAAGCCCAGAGTGTTTCTTCGATGAGATGATCGTTGGTGATGAGGAGCTCGGTGGAGTATCGGTCGATGATGTATTTGTGGGAAGCGTCTTTCTTCATTTCGATGGGATTTCGCCCGATTCCACGCCGACGCGCACACTTCACGTATCACAACGGGCGGGCTGAGTGTTCCTTTCCGCGTCCCGTGAGTTCGTCGGGAAGTTCGGCGAGGAACGTGGGCCGATGAGCGAGGGATATGGAAAAAGAGTCCTGAAAAGAGAATTCGACGGTTGGAGATGGGGGTTCTATCTCGTCGGACTGGTCGAGTCGTCAAGAAGAATGCACCGGGAAAAAAGGGGGAAGGACAAGAGGAAAAAGGAGAAAAAGTAAAAGAAGTAGAAAAAAAGTGGAATTTAACGTTTTATGGTTGGAACTGACACTTTCGGTGCAATCGCAGTTGTATGAATGGGTCACTAAACCATGAACGGAGTTTGACTTGCGAATACCTGTATCCAAATGCAAATAACGTGTAGAACACGATGCAAACATTAAAAACGTGAAAAAATAATTCAGAGACCGAGGAACACGCGGTTCGAAAAGCGCAACTTTTCCGCAAATTTAAAACGCCGCGGTTTCGCGCCGAACCGAATGATGTCATTCAGCACCAATCAGAAGCCAGCACGGGCCTCTCCGCGTGCGCCAAATGTTTTTCTACTAGAAAACAATAGAAAAGCCAAAGCCATATCTTCCAAATTAACTGTCTGATATTCATGCATGTTATCTGGAGTAAACAAGCAAAAATTCCACGTTGAAATCCGTTTTATTTTAACAAACATCTTTGGAAATTCCTTCAAGTTAATTTTTTAAAGCGAGCCTGTCCAGGATTCTGACTCCATAAGAAACGGAATAAATCACCTCGCAATCTACTCTTCTACTTCTTTCGAAATATTAAGTAAAAAACACATGGTTTACTGACCCATTATACCAAATTAATGATTCCAAAATTCAATGTTTGCTAAAATTCGATTTATATGGAATGCCAAAAAAAAAAAAAAAAAAAAAAAAAAAAAAAAAAAAACACCGTTTGCGGTGAATATTCACTAAAAAAGTGTATTTGGACCCGTTTTGATCCGTTCAATCATATTTGAGTGTCAGTTGGAGTTTACTTTCTGGCCATTTTGATAACGATCTGTTGATTGTTAATTTAGCTGGTAGTAAATTTGGTCTCTTACGCATGAGGAAACCTCACTGCAAATATAATACAGTCAATCATACTTTTTCACAGAATGCGATTGTTTCATTGTGCGAGTTTCAACCATGACGCGGTAAATTTGATTTTTTTTTTCTTTCTTTCTTTTTCTCCCTTTTTTGTGTGGAATCTTTGTCTCTAGCATGCTCGTCAATTGTTGAAGTTTCGTTTTCGCCAATAGAAGGCGATAACTTTAAGGTGAGATATAGTTGAGTGATGAGTCGTTTATCGATTTACTTTTTTGTTGCGCTTTTGTTTGTTCAAATTATCGATCGGTTGTTCATAATGGTTACTGACGATTTTTTGAAGTTGACAACATTAAGTTTCGTTCATTTGATCGTTTTTGAACAATTGAAAAGCATCGAATCACACGGAATCAATAATTTATAATAGATTTAGATAGACGGAAAGCATTGTTGCCACTTGTAAGAATCGCCCATGCGACTCTTGAGTGTGATGACTTTCCAATTAATCTTGCACTTTTTCTTTATGCTTCTTCCTATACTTTTTCTCTATGCTGACAATCGGTTGTCTATCAATTCATTATCTACTTTCACCAGTCTGCTAACAATTCTTAGCTTATTTACAATGAAAATTTTCAGGTGTTAATACAATGATAGATACTTTTTCGGCTAGAGATATGTCAAGAAGATGCGGGTAAAAAATCGTTTATTACTTATCCAGATTCATTCAATGCAAATGATAGATTAAGTCCCAAACAAGCAGAAATTTGTACTCAATATAATATTATCAAACAATAAATAAGGGATCTTTCATTTAGGGGATAACATTGGAACTGATTGAAATATCTTTGCATGTAGTCAAATGAACCATGAATTCGTTGAGACTCAATACAAAAAAGCGTAAAAATAAAACAAAATACAAAAGAAAGCTGATGAAAATGAACGGAATGCGCAAAGTAACGACAAAAGGGGGAACGAATAAAATACCTCAGGGTGTATGAAGAATCTTCTTATACTTTTTCTTTATGCTAAAAATTCCGTTTCCTTGATGAGGCCGAAACTTTTCAACGAAAAACTAATGTTATGGTACTGAACTGAAGTGCAGCTTCAAAAATGAGTAATCAATTCTCCTCCTGGGCTGCTAAAATCATGGAAAAAGATTTTCTACGAAAGTAACCGACTGAACCATCTCCCAGTTCCATGCGAGAGAATTGAATGAAAAAATATTTTCCGCAGAGAAAGTCAAAATTACTCAAGACACATCTGTGTAGAAACTTCCATCAATTCTGATGCCTCAGATCTTAATGCGTTGCATCTGTGCAAGCATTCAAGTGTATCAATTCCTTCTCAATAGTTGTGAAAGTTGCGTATGCAATATAATGAAGGGGCTTTGACCTAATGTAATCTGAATTCTTCCATACATACAGTAGGATTGCCAATTTTCAAACAAAATGTTGGTTGAGCACAACCATATGCCACAATACAACAATCAAGTAGATAGGTCGATCATCCAGTTGTAGATTTTGTTTTCACAGCTTCAAAGATGTCAAAACATGTTACATTCTTTAAAATATTTACATCTCTGTGTTGAAACACGCCGTTAAGGATGATCTAACAGATGTAGTGACATTATATTGGAGGCGTGTCTGAACAGCATCGATCTATAAAGTTTCACTCTAGAAGGTAAGACTATCTTTATTGTGACTTTAAGTCATCTTCCATATGGCAGGCAAAAGCCTGGAATGCAATTGGTTGCTGGATCTTTGACTCTTTGCTTCTTAAGTCCTCGTGACACCATTTCCTAATTGTTTACGCAATAAACGCATCCACAAAAAGAGGTCTATGTACATAGGTACGGAGTTTTAAAGAAAGACTCATTCTCGATAGCTTACAATGGGTTTCTTTTACATATTACACCTTAGACGTTGACAGAACTTCACGAAATAAGCGTATCTACGTGAGCATTGCAGGAAGACCAAGACTGATCCTTGCCTTAGTGTTAGTCGTTCATTAACGACAAGCGTGTTGCGTCTGTTTAGCTTAAGGTAATCCATCTTCCTATCAAAAATTATTGATTCAAACCCATCATAGAATCAGATAGGTTCCTCCGTAAAAACCCTAACGCAGATAGACCTCTTTTGCCTGAATGCGATCACTCTACAGATGCTAATGAAACTCCAAATAGAAGTCTTACGAGGGATGTCAGTGAAACTTCCGTGAACGGACAAACTCAATTCCTATCTACACATAAAACCGGGATGCCAGCCGGGACGTTCAAAGTGTCCAATAACTATGTTGAACAAACAGAACGGCCAGCTGAGAGAGAAGAAATCGGAAATACTTTACACCGCAAACCTCCAATAAAACTGAGCAGAAAAATTTCAATAAGGCCTCACCGATGTAGAATTGCACAAGTGATAAGATCTGAAAATACCAATTGAATCAGAAACCGAATAGGCTGAGACGTTTACTAAACTTAAAAGAACCAGTTGGTCACATGGTCGTAAGCGTGTAAACAAACAACATGTTCGACTGCTCACTGTAAAGGAATGATATATGACACGTGTGTTCGTCTTTCAATAAAGTTTTGTTAGAATTCGGTACGTGTGTTGACCGATATATTCGGCATCCATCGCTCCATCGGGAGAGTCGAATCAAAGCTGGTCAGCGTGTTGCTGGCGACACCCCGCAGGTCAAAGGTCCAAACAAACACACCGGTTCAACACACGCAACACAAATCCGTCACAATGTGCTCCACACTAGTGTCCACTAACGCTGTTTGTTTTTTCTTCGTTCGACACTCAATTTTCGGTCAAACTTTTATGTATCAAAGCAAATCCCGGGGGTGTCCGTTCAATGGAAGTTTCACTGGAGGTATCCAAAAGTGCATGGGAGGAGAGGGTTGAGAAAGCGCGAGGGCGGAAGGTGAGAGGAAGGAGATTACGAGATTGGCGGGCGGAAAAGCCAGAAAACGTCGGGTAATCCTCTCGGGGGTGCACTTGGTGGTAGCGCGAGACGCTTTTCCGGAACTGCCGCGGCGAGGACTGGCGAGACTTTGAGACCCGGGAAGCGGGAAGATGCAGGGAGAGTGCGAGCAAGTGGGCCCGATGGATCCGTTGTCCCACGTGAGGCGCGGCGCCACGTGCCGGGCAACGTGAAACGCCCGAAACACGCGCCGCCGGCCCCCGCCCGCCCGCCGCCGCGACACCAGTCCGCTACTCCGACGCCGAGGCCTCTGCCCGTGACGTCACGGGAGGGTCCCTCCGAAGAGCCTCACGCTCCGCCGCTCACTAGCTCCGGGATCTACCGCCTCCGGACATGGAGGGTAGCGATGGTTCAGTTGCGCTGGTCATGGATTCGCTTGCTCGTGCGCGGGAAAATGTGCCGCGATTTTGTACTCGCAGTCAATGGAGAATTTGCACGACAAATTTATATAGCTGCTTCTGAGAGTTACTATTGAGCAGCGTTTGCAATAATTTTCATAAGTTCTTTCAGATATTGGATATTGTGAAAGAACAGATTTGGAAGTGAGAAAATTTGCTCCCATGTGCTGGTCATGGATTCGCTTGCTCGTGCGCGGGAAAATGTGCCGCGATTTTGTACTCGCAGTCAATGGAGAATTTGCAAGAAGAATTCTTATTGCTGCATCTGAGATTTCCTACTGAGCTGCGTTCGCAGTATTTTTCATAATTATTTTTAGGTGTTGGAAATTGTGGGAAAACAGATTTGAAAGTGAGAAAATTTGCTGTCATGGGATGTCATCAAGCGGAATTTCCGGACATGAGGAGGGTAGCGAATAAAGATGGTTCAGTTGCGCTGGTCATGGATTCGCTTGCTCGTGCGCGGGAAAATGTGCCGCGACTTTGGACTCGCAGTCAATGGAAAATTGTCACGAAGAATTTGAATTACTTCATCTGAGATTTCCTTCTGAGCTGCGTTCGCAGTATTTTTCATAATTTTTTCAGATATGGGAAATTGTGGAAAGACAGATTTGAAAGTGAGAAAACCTGCTGTCTTGTGATGTCGTCAAGCGGAATTTCCCATGTAAACACATGTATTTTAAATCAAAAGGAACTATGTCCATCGTGATATAAGCCCCGTCTTGCATGTATCCTTATGGATCCTAAGGCTGAAGTTAGAATGGCTATAGTTTGTTTTGATTTAAGTACGTCTATAATATAAGGTGATTTGCCCAGGATTGCAGGGATGGTGCAATTGATGTGCGGTATATAGCATCGAGTGGAAAATCTCGTTTGATTTTAACTTTGGAACGAAAAACAACGAGCGCGCCCTGCGCAGGAGCCAGGGAGCCTTATGGATCATTTTCGGCCAAAAAATTGCAAAATTCAGAAAATAAATGTAGGATTCTTCTTGGACAAAAACAGTTGCATTCTACACAAAGTTTCGATAAAGTTCGAAAGAGTTCGCCGATATGGAGGAGCTAGAATTTTTGATTCTTTATTTCGGTAATAATACTGCAAAAACTGAACGGTAATTTTATCTTACGCCCAAATTAGGTTTTTACCCGACCTTTCTTCTAACATGGTATGGTTTTATAAATCTTGGACGTACATTAATGATTGGTAGGTACATACGTTTGCAGTGTTTGCTTCACGCTCAGCACTGCTAAATCTAACAATACGGTATTAATATTAAAGAACAATAGAGTGCACACAGACTCTTCCAAGAGATGCCGTCAATCGAGGGTATTTATACAATGAGGAATACATTTTTTCATTATGATTGCCGAAATTTTCTCGAACGGGTCCGATTTTTATTCGCTACTTTGAAAGTTAACCGTACGGAAGGAAAGTTTCAGTTTATATTGGCCAGATATTGAACCTAGCAGTGGCGTAGCGTGCTTCGCGATAAATCGATTGATCTGCCATTTAAACCAATAGAGAGAGATCGATAAATAGGGAGCCTTAATAATAGATTCTTTATCATAGCTTCAAACGAGTAAATACCAATAATCGATCATTCCCGCCTTGCCACTGTATTGAACCTATAGATTAACTATTAGGCGGAAGTAGCCTCAGTCCGTATTATTTACACTCTAGATAGCTGAGTATATCCCACAGCGTAGAATGGATTTTGATCAGAGGCATCGTTCCGGCCAAGCTTTAGAGGGACTTTCTTGTCAAGTACAGTTGGATTTTACTACCTCGAACGGGCTATCTTGGCACGTGACAAGATGCTGCGGGCCGGAAAATCTCACGGGTGGACTCACTGAGCGTCGAGCCATTTCCTCGGTCTCATTGCTCTGGGAAAACAACACGAGCGGACACAATTTTCGCCAAGAGCGGCCGCGGGGCGAGGACCGAGCAAAAATTCAAATTTCCCGGCCTCTCCGAATCTCGGAATAATCGAAGCGCGCAACATAGATGCGAGACGGCAGCGATAAACTATCGATTTCTCAAATAAGGCCGAGACAAGATAAGAAAACATTCATTATTTTCTTTACTTAAGTCGATGAAGAGTCCGTTTGCGGCTCGACGGAGTTTGTTGCCCTCATTTTTCTAAGTTTTTAGAGGCCAAAATGAAATGAAATCTCAAAATTTTTGGAGACACTGTCATGAAAAAATATTAAAATAACATAAACTTAATAATATTTCAACTAAACTTAATTTTCTCTCATTTTTTTTTCTTTTCTTTTTCTTTCTTTTTAGGAGATAGAGAGTAAGTATTACAAATTTATAAAAGTCTCGTTAACCTCTCTCAATTAATTAGGTACAAGAATGGTCATTAAAGTTGGACATTTTCAGCGAGGGTGGAGAATCCAAAATGATGTGCATTCCTGCAAAGTCGTGGAAAATGTTACACATTTCGAGCAACGTCTGAAGAGTTCCCTGAACTTGAAATGTTTTTCTAATTGCGTTTTTAAACCTGCATTTTTGGGTTGGACCCAAAATATAATGACATCGATTTTAAATTTTTTTTAAAAAAAAAAAAAAACAAATAAACTCTGGCTGATGGGTTTTCCTGCGTTAAAACGAGACCATATTGTTCATCTTTCTACAAGAACAGCATTCCCGTTGTTTATTTCCTTGATCGGATGGGTCTTTTTCGGGGCTCACTCGGCAACAGCGGAAGCGCAGGAACCTTCCCTCGCCCGAGCCGGGTTCCCGGTACATTTCCCTGCTTAAATCTTCCGTGTGAGGAGCGCGCTGCCCAAAGCGGAGCGGTTACACGAAGGTGAGGTTTATTTCAGCGGAACGTCTCCCGCCAAGTTGTGGGTGACCTCGAGCATTTA